AATTGGTGGGCAGGCAACCAAATTAACACACCTGCCTTCACTTCTCATCACAGAGGGACAGAAGAGTTCTGATTTGTACAGAAGTCAGTAAATGTTTGCAGGAAGGAAAATTAATTATACATACACACTATACACACACACACACATATGTATATATGTACTTTTTTTTTAAGAAAAAGATTATTGCCTTTATGATCAAGTAGGCCTGTAATTGAAACTCTCAGGAGGTTGAGGCAGGAGAGTCATGAATTCGAGGACAACATGAGGAAGGGGAAGTGGAGAAGAACAGAGAAAGGGATAGGAAGAGGAAGGAAAAGAGAAAACAGCCTTTGTTTTTAGTTTGTGTGAAGTCTGAGAGATTGAACCTGGGGCTTACACGTGGCAGGCAGATACTCTACCACAGAGCTTGTACCTCCAGCTCACTCAAAAGATTCAACGCCAGAAACAATTTTTGAAAATCACAAGAATGCACTTTTCCCATTATAATTAGAGTAACATGGCAAAGCCACCAAACATGTATGAAACCTCACGGTGCCACAACTTTCCAGGATCATTAGCCCAAGTCAACCAAGAAGTTGAAAAAAAAAAAAAAAAAAAAAAAAAAAAAAAAAAAAAGAATCCTGTGTGCATACCTTTTTCTTGTTCTTTAGCATTTACACTGTAGGGGCATTATAAAAAAACGAGAAACAAATTACACAGGCTATGTCTAAGTTATATAAAAATATTGTGAACAGAGGTAGCATTCAGAAGGTTAAGGTAGATTGAGAGTTTTCAGCTAGACTGGGCAACACAGCAGGACCCATCTCAGAAAACAAAACAAAACCAAAACCCACGATGTCATTTTTTGTTCATTTATTTCTCCAGACAGAGTCTCACCTTATATCTCTAGCTGGTCTGGAACTTGATATATAGACCAGGCTGGTCTCCAAATCACAGGATCCACCAGCCTCTTGCTGAGTGCTGGGATTAAAGGTGTGTGCCACCATGCCACAATGTTGGTGTTGTCTTCTAAGAGGGACACAGGGTCCCTAGTCCTTGAGGGACTTTGAGGAACAAACCTCAAGGAATCAAGAACTGACCTACTGTAGCTCAAAGGAATGGGGGCTCTGGCTTTGTGGGTGACACCCCCCTCTCTTTGCAGCTGCTGGATGCTTTGAATAGATACATACCCAAACTCTGCCACAAGGCACTGGGACCATCTGCAGGAGAGGCCTCTGCTCTCTCCCGGGGGGATTTAGGTTTTCCTACAGCTGCAGGGTAACCCAGGCAAGACAATATGGTTTTGAGAGAACAGAAGCAAGACCCATGCTCAGATCAAGCCATAGGCCCTGGTCCTACAGTGACTATGTCTCCACTGAGAATATACTCAAAAAAAGAAGACCTATAACCTCACACCATCTGCTCAAGGCCTTCCCTCTGGGAGGACTCAATACCAAGAAGAGTCTCTGGGTTGGTTGCTCTGTGGAAGGACCCAGACCACAGTTCATAGTTCAGAGGAGACAAGAGAAACCTGTGAATGTAAAAAAGCCTTCACCTCCATCAGCACCAGAGCACGGGGATGACTGGTAGTTCAGCTCCCCAACTCACAGCACAGGCTGCATACCTGGGTCCTCAGTGGGCTGGCCTGGTGGTCTGCTTAGGAGCCCTAGGCCCTGTGCTAGGGCCACAGGCTGGGCATCAGGGTTGCTCTGGGACTCTGCTGACATTCGTTCTTGTTCTAGGTCCTGAGGCCCAGGCCCATCGCCATCGTCAATCACCACCGGATCTTCACAGTGCTTGAGCTGCAATCCCAGAGACAGCAGGTCAGGGCCAGGTAGAGAGAAGTTAAGACTTAGAGCCCTGTCTGTAGGCTCTGCACGGGTCTGGGTAGGCCCTCTTTCTTTTTGGTCCTGGCGGCCATGGACTCTACAGGTAATAATCATCTCAACTTAGACTTCATAGAGAGTAATGTTTGCTTTCTTAGGAAGGCAAACACTGGGTTTAGGCAGATTTTCTCATCTTGGGGTCAAGGGTCTCACAAGGTCAGCGGGGCTCCCCTCTCCCAGATTCCCAGTGCTCACCCACTGCCAGGGTCTCCCTGGCTCCCGTTCCAGAGGATCTGCTGCAGCCACAGCCTGCTCTCCGCTCTCCGGCTCCTGGGCACGCACCCAGCTCTGAATCTCCCACGGCAGGATGGTCAAGAACTGCTCCAGCACCAGTAGCTCCAGGATCTGCTCCTTCGTGTGCCTTTCGAGCCGAAGCCAACCCCGGCACAGCTCCCAGAGGCGCTGCAGCGCCTCCCTCGGGCCTGCAGCCTCCTGGTAGCGAAATCGGCGGAAGAGGCGGCGAGAGGACTCTGGGCTGGGAGGCTCACCCTGTGGGCTGGGGTTCTCTCCAGGAGGACTCCGCATTTTCCTGGGCTCCTCACTTTCCTTTGGAGCCAAGACTCGTGGGCACAGGGCTGTGGGCATGATGGGATTTGATGGGGGTCAGCGGCAGAAGACGACCCTATTTCCAAACAGAAATTGCTGGCTTCAATGCTCTGATCTCCTGTGGTTGTCTCTGGGAGGGTGGTAGACAGGGCCCATGGGAGACCAGCCCTTTGAGGAATCCCTGGGGAATGTATGAAGTGTTGGTATGGCTGGGCCTTAAAGGGGACAGAAAGGAGACGGCCCTTCCCACCAGCATCACTCCGTGTAGATTCCCCTAACAGGTGGCAGTGGAGGCAGGAAATCTGGGAGAGAAGTGGTGGCCTTTCAACAGGACACTGGTGTTTTCAGCATCCCTGGAGAACAGGCCACATGCAGATATGTGTAACCAAGGTTTGTGATACCTTTGGTGGACGGGTCCTCTTGGAGGATATAGGTCCAGCAGACCACAATCTTGAAGTTTTGGAACCAAAGTCACTGTCTTGGTTCTTGAGATCTTCGAAAATTGAACTAAAAAAAAAAAAAGGCAAATGATGAGCCATCCAAGACCATTGTGGGACAATATCACTCTGCCAAGGACACAATGGGTGGACAAGAGCCCAACAGAACCTGCACTCTGTGTCGGCAGGGGCAAAAACTTCCAGGCAGAGAAGAAACTCAAAAAAAAAAAAAAAAAAAAAAAAAAAAAAAAAAAAAAAAACAACAACAACAACAAAAACAACAAAACAAAACCAAAACCCACTGTATTTTAAAACACCATCATTAGGCCTAGGATGCAGCTTGGTACTCCTCTTCCCCAAATATCAGTGCTTTATGGCAAGCATTACACCCAACTAAGTCCAGCATAGAACTATAATCTTATCTAAAGACCATTTGTTTCTGGAGGCTGGAGAGACAACTTAATAGTTAAGTTTTCCTACCACCCACCTCAAGTTGTTCAAAAAGCCCTTTAATTCCAACTCCAGGGTCTCTAAAAGCTTCTTCTGACCTCCATGGGCTCGGCACTCAAGTGCATACACCTACACACAGATATCTATACAGGTATACAGATAGTTTTAAAAATAAAATCTTAGCCATAAAAATAATTCACTGGGCGTTGATGGCGCACAACTTTAATCCCAGCACTTGGGAGGCAGAGGCAGGCAGATCTCTGTGAGTTCAAGGCCAGCCTGGTCTACAGAGTGAGTTCTAGGACAGCTAGGAATATTACATACAGAAACCCTGTCTCAAAAAACCAAATAAGTAAATAAAATAAAAACAATTCTAAAAAGTTACTTGTTGTAGTTAGGGGTGTGTGTGTGTGTGTGTGTGTGTGTGTGTGTGTGTGTGTGTAAAACAATGTAACTAGAGAAAGAAGCCAAGATTTGGGGGAAGGAATTATATGGGAAGGGTTGGAGGAAAGGGGAAAAATGATGTAATTACATTTTAATATGTAAAATGTGGTTAAAAAATAAAAACTACTTTTATCTCATTGGTTTAGGCAGTGGTACACACTGACGTCACAGACCTTCCTCTCTTGACGAACTCTTGGTGCCACAGACTGACACACACACTGGGGCTGGAGTTCTCTATACATCCATGGATATCAAATAGAAATCCCAGCAAACACCAGGGGCACAGCATAGCATGGCCACTCCATTTGACCTCTGTTCTCTGGCCCACACTTTTGAACACTAGGAGAAAAGGCAAATGGAGACACACAGGGTTCTGCTCTCAGGACTCTAGGAACCCCAGGCAAGGCCACTGACCTTTCACACCCTCACCTGGAGGCGATTTCTAGCAGGACAGCACCACCTTGCAGGAAGACAAGCGATACCAAAAAAAGCCACCAAACAACCGAACAACACCTGGAACCCCAAATTTTCTATATTCCTTTGATTTCCGAAGTAAAGACAAACAGACACTCGAAGCCAAACTCTGAAAGCAACAGGCTGTGAACCGCGACGGCTCTTACATTTTACTCTGGTATTAAGAACCCAAACTGGGCCCCGCCCGCTCTCTTGCCAGCTTCCTCCGCCCACTCTCTCCCACCTGCTGGGCCATGCATGGCTCAGGTCTGAACCCATGGTGAGGTTCCCAGCGTCCCACACTCAGCACCCAGCTCTGCTATGGGACTGCTCTCTGAGAGCCCAGAGGCCAGACAGGCGTGTGCCTCTTTGTCACCCTGGCACCTGGCGCGCAGGAGTCTCCGAAGCGGAAGCTTTATGAATGAACTACCGTTAGTGAGGGGAGGGCTCCCGCAGGGGCGGGGCTTGCCCAAAGCAGTTGAAGGAGCAGCATCCGAGGAAAGGAATGAGGAGGGTGTTTTAGGCCAGGAGAACTATGGGGTTTCTGTCGCTTACACTCTTCCAGGTTTGCTGGCTCTTCACCTCGAAGCCCGAGATTGCAGGGCGGCAGGTTCTCACCTTCCAGCTCGGTCTCTCTGGTGTCTCTGCCCAGGA